ACAATTCTTATTGTTATTGCTGTATTGTGTTTACTAGGTCATGCGTGTGCCCGGTATTCATGAGTAATCTAAAAATCTTGTTAATGTCTCATACAAGGGACTCTACTCGACCCTCATATAGGTGATTTCATCAAGTGTATGTTCCAAATCATACACCACCTATAAGGAATATGAAAATTATTAAAAATTTTGTTTAGACTAAAATTCTTACACCACATAGAATTTTAATTACAAAGTTTAACCTCTCAATAATGCAGTATCTAACATTTTCACAGATATCTCATAAGAATGAATATAATTGATTTTAATCAATTTTAATGTTAACAAAACTAATAAGTGATTTGTTTTTACCCATATGAATCTTATTCATGGGATCTCTAGTCACAAAGATTGGATTACCATCACTTATTTGTTTGCAAGTGGCTTGAGTCTCATTCCTCTCGATGTTTTTAAAATCATGTTTCTCCCTAGGGATTTCATTAGAGGATTTGCTAGATTCCACTGTGACTTCACATAGTCAATAGAAATTGTTCCACTCATTAACAGTTGTTTCACCAAATTATGTCTCAATTTTATGTTTGTTTTTTCCATTGTAATTCTTATTTTTAGGTATAACTATTGTCAATTGACAATCACAATGTATTGACATAGACAAGGTTAATTTTATTCCTAACATAATATTTGCTAAGAAATTTTTCAACTACTCAGTTTCACTATCAGCCATTTTAAGAGTAACAAACTTTGATTCCCTTGTCAGTTTTGCAATAATTATTTCCTTGGCTGATCTCCTTGTAATTACACCATCCTTAAGTGTAATTACATAACCACTATTGAATTTTGTCTCATCTAAATCAAAGATCTAGTTTGCATCCCTTCTAGTATAGCAGGAAATCGACTATCTTAAATGACATAATCTATAGAACTTCTTAAGTATCTCATAAGTCTTGCAAATACATCCCAATGTTCTTGATTAGGACATTGGGTGTACCTACTCAACCTACCTACCTACTGCATTAGTAATATCAAATATAAAAAAACTCATTAAATGCAGTAAGCTCCTAGTAATATAGACATATATTGGGGTTGAGAAATAGAGTCTCCTATACTTTTCTTTAATTTAAAGTTAGCATCATAAGAGTATCTTCAAAAGAAGTTTCCTTTCTTTATTTTTTACTTCTCCTCAAATCATCATACATGTCATCACTATTAATATCTATATATTGTTCAGGTATCTCACTAACCTTTAAAGGAAAAATATATTCAAAAAATTCTATTTTTTGTCTTCATATTATGCTCAATTACATCACTTTTAAATACACGAAATATGTAAGCAACACTATGTTCTACATAATCTAAGAACATACAATAAAAAAAATTATAGCCTTTTTTTTTTAAGATCGGGTAACATTATCTTATCTAAACACTCTTAAGTATTTAAGATTAAGTTGATAACGTCTTTATTTACCAATTTTCTTATGTGATATCATATTTTGTAAAAAATATGTTATAAGTAGAGTTTCTCCCCAAAGATTATTAGATACACTAAAACTAATAAGCATGACACTCATCATTTATTTAAGAGTTCTATTTTTCTTTCCGTTACTCCATTAGACTTAAGTGAATATGGTGGGGTCACTTTATGAACAATATCTTCTTTAACATAATAATAATAATTAAATAATACATAATTACCACATCTATCTTATCTAATCCTTTTAATTTTCCTATATAATTAATTTTCTACTTCCACTTTATAAGTTAAGAATATGTGAAACGTTTCATGTTTATGTTTGATTAAGTATACTTTAGTGTATTTAGAGTAGTCATCTATAAATGTTACAAAATAATTTTTACCACCTTTAGACATTGTTTGTTTTAGATAAGCTAGATCAATATGAATCAATCATAAGGGTTCAGTTTAGTGTTCTACAGATTGACACTTTTCTTGGTTATTTTAGATTTTACACATATATCATATTTTTTACTTTGTTTATCATGCATATTAATTAATCATAAGTTGTAATTTTATAACATACGAGGAATTCTCATGTCTTAGCTTAGCATGCCACATATCATATGAATCAACAATATAAGTAAAAAAATCAGATTCATTAACAACTTTAGAGATGTTAAGTATAAAACGACCTTAATCATAATATTTCTTCACTACAAACACATTATTTTTTATTATAATAATCTTATCAAATTTGAATAACACTTTAACCTTAACTTTTTCCAACAGTGCTACAAAGATTAGATTAATTCTGATTGATGCCACATATAACACATCACTCAAGGCCAAAGTCTTCGCAAATATGAGCTTTAGAAAAATCTTTCCTTTTCCTAGAATCACTGAGATAAACATGTTATTTTCCATCCTCCATACTAGTGTAGGAGGTAGAAGTATTTCTGTTTGCACAGATGTTCCTAGTAACACTAGAGTCTATCACCCATTTTCTCACATTTGTCATAAGATTTATTTGAGAAATGACCGCAAAATTGTATCTTCTCCTTCAATTAAATTTGTCTAAGGAAGATTGTTGTTTCTTATTATACGTATGTACTAAGGTGCATAATGATCTGACTTTCTACAGACAAAGAAACCTTCTTTCTTCTTGAAGGTGAGGTTAGATCCATTGGTACAAAAAATTTTAAAATTATTTTTCTTCTTATGTTCAGGTTTTTTCTTGTACCTTTTTGGAATTGGTTTGTCTTCTACCATATTTGCTTTAACCGATAATGTCTTAGCCCTTGCAACAACACACTCCTTTCGATTGGTGTCTTCGATGATAATGTGCGTGATAAGATCTGATAGTAACATTTAGTTATGTCTATGCTTCAGCTGTTTGTTTGTAGTCTGTCTAGAATTTTGGAAGTTTTTCGATTAGATGTTCTAAAACGAACTCATCAGGTAGGACTATGTTTTTTGCTTTAATATCTTTAAACAACTTGTGGTACTCATTGATCTTGGATATTGATGTCCTTGTCTTCTAACATCTCACAACGGAAGTAGTTTTTGATAACGAACATTTGTCTCACGACATCTTCAGGAGTGTATTTGAAAATCAACGAATCCCAAATATCCTTAGTTTCCTTAAAAGAACAATACACGTCGAACAAATCATTAGATAATGCATTAAGCAAAATATGTGTCGACATACCTTGTTCGAATGAATCCAATCTTCAATATATTTAGAAGGAGTATTAGAGTCAAGTTTCGTAGTTGTAAGAGTAGAAGTCACTTCATACATGTCTAACAAAGTAGAAATGCGTTCCTGTCAACATTAGAAGTTTTATCCACATAAAACTTTGATTTTCGAAATGTTCGAGAATGGTGTCACAAAGACAATTTGAGTTTTGGAAACATTATTTGTCTTCTATAGTGTAGAGTTGTTATTGGTGTCGTTACAGTCAAACATAAACCCTTAAGATTGTTGTAAATGTTGATGAAAATACAAACAAAACTTAATTCTCGAGGCGTGTATAATCACTGTCCGTAAAGACTTATCCACGTTGTATTGCACAAGTTCCTAAGGAACTTCTCAAATTTTTTGAGAAACTTAGAACTAGCAATCAACTCTTTAAGAGTAATAACCCAAAATATAAGGGAAGAAAAAAAAAGATAAAAGATATATGTTTTATAATTTCAAAGGGGCACAAACATCTATTTATAAATGTAGACAGAGTTTAGAAAACCCAAACTCTCAAACCAAATGTCCACCAAGAGTAGTGGAGGTGCCAAGATAGACTGAGAGAGGATCATGACAGTTTTTCGTATATCAAGAAATAAAGATAACATAAAGTTTCATATCTGCAACAATTGAGACCAACATTTACGGAGGAATAATTGCACAACCCTTGTGGGACTCGCGTTAGGTTTTAGCATAACATTTGTTGGTCACACATTAGGTTGGTGGATCTCACATTAGATTTTGGTGCAATATTCTTGTAATACTTTGTTTTTATAAAAAATATTTTATTTTAATATGTAACTATAATTTAATATTTTTTCTTAGAAGTAAATTCAAAATATTTTTTTGATATAACTCAAAATATATAATTATAATTCTCTTATTTTCTGTTTCTTTATCATTTTTTTCTTACCGTTATAGAATGGCTATATTTTTTCTTGGAACGTGTCGATTTTGAAGTTTATTCCTTTAATTCTCATACTTTCATAAAAGAGTGTACGTGTTTTTGCAGGAACAGGCCATGATATTTCATTGAAGGTGACATAATATCATATAAAAAACTAGTGATAAAAAAAGTTTTAGAAATATTTTAAATTTTTATAAAAAATAAGTATTTGTTTATATGATTTTTTTTTTAATTTATTCTCAAAACTTAAACTTGACTTTGTTTAAAATATTTGAACCCAGTTTTCCTTCTACGAACAAATAATGTATTGTTTGAAGTTAGGTATTTCCAATACAAGATGTATCAATTCTATACCTCTTAAAAGTGGAATGCTTCAAAAATCATTTTTATAGATATAGATTTGAAAACCACCCAATTGGAGGATTTGACTGAGCAAGTACAGATCTGAATTTATTTTTTCTTAAAAAAGAACAAATTAATTGATTCTACATGATTCAGGTACAGGTAAGATATTGAAATCTAACAAAATATAGTTTCTGAAATAAAAAATGGTGCAGGAGCCACACCCAAAATTTTGTTGGGACAAGAACTCATCCAATATAAAAGGTGTTTGTGTGTGTTCTTCATTCCTTAACAACACAGGTCAAGTTTTCTGTAATCTTACATAGTAAGTACCCTTCAGATCTTTCCCATTACTTCCTTTGCCATCTTCATATGCTGCCACTGACACAGTTTCTGACACTCACCACTTGCACTCTCTTTCTTTGGTTCCAAACACACAGTCCGAGCCCACAATGAAAAAGAACAAAACAGCCCCCACTTTATATTTCACTTGCTATTTGTGAAACTACCTACCCTTTTGAACCAGTGACTTTTATTGTTGTTGTTGTTGTTATTGAGGCATGGAAATGGAGGATTTTTTATGGGGTAGTGACATTGATGGGGATGTCCCTAAGGGGAATAGTGATGGTTTTGAAGAAAGTAATGGTGTGATTGGAAGTGGGTGTGGTTCATCTTTCTCTCTGGTTTTGGATAGGGAGAGAGGGGAACTTGTAGAGGCTCCTGCTAAATTGGAAAGGAAAGGGGTGTCCACTGAGAGAAGCATTGAAGCTTTGAAGAACCATAGTGAGGCAGAGAGGAGGAGGAGGGCAAGGATTAATGCACATCTTGATACACTTCGCAGTGTCATTCCAGGTGCTATGAAGGTTTGTTCAGCATAATGCTTTTTCAGGCATCATTTTTCCTTTTGTTTCCTACCCCTTTTTCTAAATGATTGAGAAAGCATATACATAATTTGAATATTTGTGAGTAATGTTTAACTAAGGTAGTCAATTAATTGAATTGGGTCATGAAAGTCAAAGGGTGTACAACAATGATCCAGTTTACTTAATCTGCTCTGACTGGCAATTACATTGTAAAGCATTCCTTGAGACCATCTGAGAATGTACCAATGAAGTGTTGTAGCTTAAAATTGTGGAACTAAACTATGCTAGTTGGTAGTAGATGATCATATGCAGGGGATCTATTAGTAGGTTATTGAATTGTGCTTATAGTTTTATTTGAGAAGCTCATATGTCAGGAGAAATAAGCGTGTCAAATTAAACAATTCATTCCTTGTTCAAAATTTGAGTTTCACTTTTTTTTTCTTACTTTTGGACATATAGATGGACAAAGCATCATTACTTGGTGAGGTTATTAGACATTTGAAAGAGCTGAAAAGGAATGCAGCACATGCTTGTGAAGGTTTGATGATACCAAAGGACAATGATGAAATAAGCGTTGAAGAACAAGAGGGTGGGTTAAACGGTTTTCCTTATTCAATTAGAGCATCACTATGTTGTGAATATAAACCTGGCCTGTTGTCTGATATAAGACAAGAACTAGATTCTCTTCATCTTAAGATAACAAAGGCAGATATTGCAACCTTAGAAGGCAGGATGAAGAATGTCTTGGTGCTCATTAGCTGCAAAGAACAGAACTTTGAAGATGCTTCATACCGACAGTTTCTGGCTGGTTCTGTTCACCAAGCTCTTAGGTCTGTGCTCAATAGATTTTCTGTCTCACAGGACATTTTAGGAACCAGGAAAAGAAGAAGGATTTCTATATTCAGTTCTTCATCTTTAGAAGATTTCTTGTAAGCTCCCTTGCCAAGTATAATGCAAGTCCCCAAATGTATACCAAGTTTTAATGTAGTGATAGTAGTGACTTCATCATGTACCATGTAAACTCATGTATACATACTCAAATGTGTTCTTCCATGCTTTCTGATTCGGACATGTACTTCTTGGAAGACAAATCATGTGAAAATATAATGGGCATGTTATTTGAGGTGTACAAAATGTTCAGTTGCTTGGACAGATTGGTTTATGTCTAAATTAGCATCTTTTAATCCTTTGATCAACACAAACTGGAGTCTATGATATTGTACCTTGTTTACAGAAGGATGGTTTAACAATGGTTTTTTCTAAATTCTATACCTTTTCTTACTCCAACAAAATCAAGAAAGGTTGTTGAGGAAGCCTAAATTTTGACAGCAGGAAAAGAATGAGATAACTGTATGGTCCAAAAACCCAAAAATTATGAGTTGTGGTTATGGAAAAGTGTCAATTAAGCAATGATCAAGAGGAAAGGTGTGCTTAGAGTTTTGATTCCTAAGTCCCATATCTTGCTCCAATTGTATAATGAATAAGTCAATGAAACTCTAAGTCAGATTGCTGCTGCTTAAAGAAGACCCAGAAAACAGGTTAAAAAAATGATTACAAAAAGTTTTCGATTACCATGTTTGTTAGTGTGAAATATTTACCAATTTTATTCATGATCAATTTAAAGAAAAAAACTTAACTAATTGTTCTTAATGTTTTTTTTATTATTTATATAATTTTAATTAAAAAAAATCGACTTGAAGTTCATTTTTAAGAAAAAGTTCAACGTTATACATTAAAAAGAATAAATAGGGCATAGCCACTAACGTGTTTTCATCCAACACTGCCAAAAATAAAATTAGTAAGTATGTTATCATCAACAAAAACAATAGAGTAAACATTTATTTTTAGATTAAATTTTATTTAAAAATAATATAAGCTTTTTAATGTAATTTATTTATTTTATTTTCCTTTTTACTCATTTAAATAAATAAGAAAATTACTCCACTTAAACATTTCTCTAATTTTTTTCTTTATCTTTTGACCTTGTCGGTTTAATTATAGTTTTTCTATCTGAATGCTGGAACAATTTTTTCATAGTTCTTTAAATTAAAAAAAAATCATTTTATTATATCAAATTTAATAAAATATATTTTTAATAAGTAAATATTAAATAAAAGACTAAAAATAATTTTAAAAATTTTGTTATTTAATTTAAAATTTTATTTTTAAAGGCTAAAATCATTTCACATTGAGGATTATACATATTTTTTAATTTTAAAAACTAAATAAAAATTATCATAATTTTTAATTACTAAAAATATAGTTATCCATTCTTTTTTACTATTTTGAAACTTCTCACCATAGCGTTTTTAAAAATGAAATGATGGCATAAATTTTAGGATAAATAAATAAAGTATACATTAACGATATAAATCCACGTGGCGAGCAAGAGGATATCTCAGTCTCTTTCAAGTTCCACGTGGCGAGATACTATAGATTAATAAGATTGTGTGGCAATGCACAGCAATGTCTTTGTGGTCGTCACTGTTGCATACACAACAAAACACAGCAGCGAGAATATGGCTCTCTCGGCGCCACTTCAGAACCTCTCCGCAGTAATCTCCGCCACCGGAAATGCCACCACAGCAGGGACGCGGCCGCCGAGAGGCCGGCACTGGGCGGTTCACGCGGCTTCTGACACAAGCGCCTCCGCGCCGGTGCAGTCGGGCGGGTACGAAGAAGGGAAGCTTGAACGACCCAAGTGGGCTGGGGAGACCCCTCTTTCTCGGCTGGTTCAATCTATCATCTCCTTCAAGCCTTTGTACTATTTTCTCAAACTTGGTGCTAGAAGGGCTTTGATAAGGTTCTTCATCGTGCCTTCTTCACTTTCCTTCAACTTCAATTTTGTATAATGCTTTGGTAACTTTTGTAAACTATAAACGTGTATATTTTTGGGCATGTGTGGGGTTTTGGATATACATTTGTACTTGTTTAGTAATTTTTGCAACAGAGAAAATTCTGTTAATCAAAGTATTATATGATATGATATTATGTTAATCAACATTGTATCAAATTTTAGATGATGTAAACATTTGTAGGTATAAATAATGAGAAGTGATCGCAACACGTTCTTTTACACACCTCCTAGTACACTCACCAGGCTGCCATTCGCATAGTTGTTGTATTGTGTCAGCTTTTGAGATTTCAAAAGGCCTAGGTTACTAGTTTAATGCATGTAACCAGCTCCGTCTTGTAGGAAAAAGAGATTTGTTTGTTATGTTACATTGAACTAATATTTGATTTGTGTGTCTCTTAGAATCCTACATAATCAATTTATAAGTTGGGAGTTGCCCCAATTTATACATTATAATTTAATTACATACTTAAATGACTGGGATTTTCAACACCACTCACACTGAGAACTAAATAACTTGAGCATGGAATTTGTAGGACTGGTGATCTGACAGACCCCATAATAATTGCTAAGATAGAAACTTGTGGAGATAGACTCTTATACTATATTAAATTTGATTTTGAGCCTAAATTGGTCATTTGACTTGGCAATATAATATGGGATGTGCAATAGTGTCCATGTGTTGGGACTACCGGGGCTAAAATGTCGAGAGATTTTCCAAGTGAACTTGACACCATATTCAATTTAAAACCTTTATATTAGACATTACTACATTAGGTTTGTGGGTTCTTCATATATATTGCTTAACTTGTTCCTCAAGCGTAAGTCTCTTCCATATTGTTGTGCATGACTCATTTTATGGACTTCACCTCCCGTAGTATGGAACAAGGGTAATATTGTATTTACAAATACTTAATACTTAATGTAATCCTAATTCTGACATTTATAGACAGTCATTCTGCTCCCAAGGACGTAAACTTGAACTTCGTTAAATTATTGTCTTTGTTTGTGTGCCTGTTTATTCTAGTGTTTTAGAATCCATGTGCTATTGGTACACGATGAAATGAAGTTGGAACAAGCATCTCTTTGTGGGGAAGTGAGTGTGGTTTTTCAATGTGAATACACAGTACTGCTGAGAAGAATAACATACCTTGGAGGCAGATGGTGAAAGAGGTTCTAGAGTCAGAAGTGTATAGGGAGATGGACAGCATTCAAAACCTCTCTTTAGTGTACCCTGATTGTAAGTTTCTGACTTTCTAGTTCTTTCTTTGTGTTACCCTTCTATTCATCGTTGTCTTTATTTTACTCTTGCATGTCATTGAAAATGACGGGATGACTGCTTAAATCACTTAACAGATTATTTGAATCCATTCCATGCGTATGAGGAGGGCAATCTTACATGGCTGGTATGTGGTAATTCTGAATTTCCCCATATTTCAATTGATGGCTTAATTTGGCCACTCCTTTCGTGATAATCAGATAAAAATTAACATGTTCCTGCTTGGTAGGTGTTTTGACTGTGGTTATTTCTCCCAGCACTTCTTTTTATGATATATACATTGTGTGCGACTTTTGTTTACTTCATTAGTTCAAATTTATTACAATTGAAGCCATGATACTATTTTTCATTCATGCAATGTAGACATGGCAGAAACACCAAAAATTTTTTTGGTATGTATTGATGAGTTATGTCAGAAGTTCCACCTTATTTTTTGTAAATATACGACTGTGCCTTCTGACCTGACATCCATCCAAGATATGCTATACATGTAACTTCTCTAAAAGTTAGGATGCATAAATTAATTTTATCTTATGGAAGAGCTTAATGCATTTTATATTCATATTTTTTTTTCCTGTAAGTGTTGGTGACAATATTTATCCAAACAAGACCATTTTTGACAGATGTTTGTCGAAACTTTTTCTTCTGGCCAGACCCGTTGGACCTCAATAACATGTTTTGGTTAAAGCATGTGTCTGCTGTTGTGTAGGTTGTCATATTTGCAGATGATCAACTAATTGGCTTGCTAGTAAACATTAGTATTTATTATTGCATTGTATTGACAAAATCGTTAGATTTTCACATGCATGTATGTTAATTAGAACATGTAGAAGTCCAAGGTGTCTTGGACTTGCTCGTTTATTAAGCAGATTATCTTGTGAAAGGAAATGTATAAGTAATTATATTTTATTTCCAATATGATAAAAAACAGTTTATTATAAAATCTGGATTCAATTATTATAGGCAGCAGCAGAAGCAGAGGCTGCTACAATGTCAATGGCTAGACGAGCACTTCCAGATGCTTCTTCAGTGGAGGAAGCAAATCGGATACTGCGTGGCAATTGGCTTCATGCAATTGAACAACACCATATACAGTATTCAGAATCATCTGTGATTAATGACATTCTAGATATTGGATGCTCTGTAGGTATAAGCACAAAATATCTTGCAGACAAGTTCCCCACAGCCAAAGTCACCGTGAGTTTTTAATGGATAGATGAATTTGCTTTATGATAGAGGTTGGAAATGGAGAGTCAGCATAACATAAAATCATTATTAGCCAACTTGAATTTTCCAAGAATATGTTATTACTTGTTATTGTTGTGCTTTGTGATTATTATTTTTTTTCCAGGGCCTAGATCTGTCACCCTATTTTCTAGCTGTGGCTCAGCATAAGCAAAAAAGAGCAATGCCTAGAAAAATTCCTATAAGATGGATACATGCAAATGGGGAAGACACAGGCTTGCCTTCTAAATCATTCGACCTTGTTTCTCTTGCCTTTGTGGTATGCCTTTTCTTTTCTTATTTAGTCCTTTAAAGTTTCACTATCAAGGGTTGGGTCTAGAGAAATGAACTAGTTTCTTCTCACAAAGTATTGAACTACTACTCAGATCCTTACTGGGAGAAGTACTACCATTTATTGTCTGGTCACATCTTTAGCAAGATTTATACCTGTCAGAAACCTAACAAAAAAGTTTCAAAATATATACTATTATGCTATATATTTTATGTCAATCTAGTCAACAAAATCTGAAAATACAGAAGTCCCTCTGTTCAGTTGAGAACAAGATTTCTTCATGTGATATGATTCTTCGATCAAAGGCCTAAAAGGCATATCTATTTTTGAAGATTCACATAATTGAAACATTGAATTCTCTCCAGAGACTAATATTTTTCAGTGTTCTTGCATTAAATCAGTTGTGGATTTCCAATTTCTTATCCCATAACAATTACTAGAAGCACAGATAGGTTACTCGAATAACAAGTTTGAGAAGATATTGGTGGATTTTAATATCTGGAATCTCTGACTATGTTCAGCTTCATGAATGTCCTACAAGAGTTATAGTGAATTTAGCGAAGGAAGCATTCTGTCTACTTCGGCCTGGAGGCACACTAGCTTTAACAGATTTTTCGGTATATAATATCATGATTACAATTTTTCTTTTATTCCTTTTCATTTTTGGTTTCATGCCCAATGCTCATATTATTTCTGCTTTCTGCAGCTGAAATCAAAGGTCCTTCAGGTATTGTATTGTCCTGCTTTTATGCTCTTTTTTTTTTTATATATATAATCAATACATGAATATTTTGTACGCTAAAACACACTTTTGGTTTCTCCTCTTAATTTTTTATTTTAGTTTGGTGTCAAGTTTAAAAGGTTCCACTTTGATTCTTTAAAGTGTTTATGCTAGACTAAATTAAACCTTCTATCAGTTTTCTAATAATTTTAACTGATAGGAGATCTCTTTGTCAAGTGTTCTTTAGTAAAGTAGTGTGATAAATGGAATAAAGGACCAACTACAGGGATGCTTTAAGAGACTAAAGTGAAACTTTTTAAGCTATAAAATTGAAACAATAAAATACAAAAAAATAAAAATAAAATGAAGGACCAAAAGGTGCATATATCATATTTTCGCTTATTTTCTATGGCCTTCTCTTTAACTGTGCTAACCTATGAGTATTAACAAGTACAGTATGTGTAAATGAGATCAAGAGCAGCACCTTTGAGGACTGCATGATCTTGGTATTTAAATCTGGATTACTTTTCTTGGAAAATTTGATCATCCATAACACATGATTAACTTAATAGCACATGTACATTGTTGCCCAATGTAGGAACATCAGCTAATTTGTTCTTCCTTTTTTCTCTTATAGGAATTGTCTCCTGTTCTGTTCACACTGGTTAAGAGCACAGAACCTTTTCTGGACGAGTATTATTTGACTGATATGGATGAAACACTGAGGGAAGCTGGTTTTGTGAACATAACATCAATTCTTACAGACCCCAGACACGTCACAATTACGGCAACAGTGCCTCAATGAAACATCACATCTGCTTGAAATTTTTTATTTTCATTTTTCTTGGTACATAACCCTTGGGTTTGGCATCAAGCAAGTTAGCTCTTGGTCCAAAATGATTAAATTATGTATCCATGTGCCACGATCTGTTATTGTTTTTTTGGTTTTGTAGAGTTCCCAAGCTCTGGTGCAACATAAATTCCTTTGAACATGAGCATGCTTATCCTTACCAAATATGTACTATTGTCCTTTTCTTGAAGCACCGATCAATTACTGTCGTGTCCGACGAATTTGGGTTTTGCCAATCTCTTCTTGTGCTTTGTTTGCATGTGCCCTTTTATAGTAAATGTTGAATCAAAAGTAAGCTTAGATACCAAGACAGTAGTTAAATGTACAAGATGTAATTTTATATCTTTATCACTTTGTTTTCAGTTTCTTTTGGGTTGTCATTTCAGTACATCCCTGCATAAAAGGGGTTTTCGATGATAACAGGGCACACATTTTTTTCCTTACGAAAATTTATTTTTTCATGATTGGTAAAATGCATCGCACTTAATTTTCTTTGCGAAGCAAATGGAAAAGTAAAGAAAACTTTCTACTTTGAAAATTTGAATTGAGATAAGAGGTGAAAGAAAGGGAGAGAAAAAAGGAAAAAAAAAATCATAATAGAAAAGAGAGAGTGAGAAAAAAAAAGTAAAAGAGAAAATATATATATATATATATATATATATATATATATATATATATATATATATATATATATATATATATATATACTATTGGAAAACTAAATTTCATTCTTCATATAAATTCTATTGGACAACTTTTTAAGCAATTATAACTTTCTGATCTTTTTATCACAGTGGTTGAATTTCAATGACAATAAATAATTTTTGTTTCTAACTTGGTTTTATTCATGGATAATTGTTTCTATTTTCTAAATCACGTATGTGGCAAGTTATAAACGACATATATTCATATCATTTCCACCATATTCCATGCATATCATAAACGAGAACCCGATGAAAAGTTTGAAACTTACATTTCTCTCTCACAATTATTATATAAAAATATAAAATAAGAATATCCAAATGAACTTGGGATTATAAATATGAACATGACTTAATCTAGGAAGGAAGAGCATGTACACGTGTGCAAGGTAGGGGTTGTCTGAATCTTTAGTGTGTACGTTTCCTTATTCTGTTCCTCCTCGTGCACTTCTGCACAAAAGTCACATTCCTCCCAAGTTTATCAAACTGTTCCCAACCTTTTCATGATCGAATCTTCTGTTGTGTCCCTTGGGAAAGCCAAGGAATTGGCGAATTGGGGTGTGACATAACACCTCCTGCAAGTGGTTTATAGATTTTCTCTTCTCCGCTCTTCTTAGAACAAGTATTCTCTTGCCCTTTTCGTTATCCAACATGCTACTATTGAATTCGCACCTCATATTCAATATGGGTTTTTGTTTTCTGATCGAAAGCTCTTTCCTTTGTTAGCACGTGTTGGGTAGTTTTTATTCTAAAAACCCTCTTTCTTCCTCTATTTTTTCTTCTTCTCTTGTTGCTTTTGATTTAATTTGGTGTGTTTGTGTCTTTGAGTTTTTAATTTTATCTTTTTTCTGAGTCAAATTTATTTTTCTGCATTGCTTCAGTGATAGACCATGTAATTTGATCAATGAAAGTTAAAATTCAATTATATATATATATATATATATATATATATATATATATATATATATATATATATATATATATATATATATATATATAGTGTGTGTGTGTGTGTGCGCGCGCGCGCGTGTGTGTATATATATATATGTATGTATATATATTAACTCTCTAAAGTGATGGGGAAAAAGGAGCCAGTAGGATTACGACTAGAAGATGTAGATTGTTTTGGACAATGAAGTTAGACATTCAGGGTTATGTGAATTACTTGAAGGTTCTTGTATGTTTCCCCTTGTTGGTAGGTTATCTAATTGGACTGTTTAAGTTGGAGTTTTAAGTTTGGATTTATTATATAAGGACGTGTGAATGATGTTTCATTATTGCTTGAGGTGTTGGGTGGATGCTTGTTAAATATGATTGTGCTATAGGCTGGAATTTATCTGCAATTCATGTTAAATGTTTGTCATTATAACGACTGATGGCACTTCCTGATCACTTTAGTCTCCCTGTTGAGTATAATCTTTCTTCTTTATTGCAGATAATTAAATAGAACCACTCTGAAGTTGAGACAAGATTAATTGCAAATTTGTTCTAATCAGAAAATATCAGTAGAATTTGCTATTCCAGAAAGGATATTATGGTCACTATGGATGTTAAAGGCATAACATGGGTTGAAAATATGTACCTGAAGTTGGAGAATATGTTCCTTGAGGTGGAAGACGTGATGTACCAGGTATGCTATATCTCCTTTCCTTTCTGTCTTGTATGTCCCTACTATTTTAACTGTAATTATTGTCATAACTTATTAGCAATTGTAGTGTAATCAAAGGCGTATGGAAAGCGCTGGAAGGGATCATGCATCTTGCTGTTGAATCGCTTCCCTTTAGAGGCATGAATATGATGCGTGCATATCCTGTTATGATTAGTAAAATATTCAGAATACTAAAGGGGATTAACTGATCATGATATGAGAAAAACTACAGCTTAGTTTGTAAATTGAACATACTTTATATTTTTAGTGTGAATTATTGTCATGACTAATATATAAGAAAAATCAATGCAAAATAGACGTATTTCACTGATTGCTTCCTTTTCAAAGCTTACACCATCATTTGGTATGATATGCACTTTTCTTACACATATTGACTGAATTATAAACTCCTAGCAGCACTTTTTGGGTGCCGTTCTCCTTTGACTTCCTTGATTTTACTTCTGAGTGTTGAATGCAACTTAACTTATATTTGTCCTGTTATCTATGATAATATTTCTGAAAGTATTTCTGTATATGATCTTAATTTTTTAACAGTGATGGTTTAAAATGTTCTGAGACAGATAGTTTCCTACCCTGCTATTAATTGTGATTCTTACCAGATACTATATTCTTATATCTGTTTGTTCTATGGGTATAGGATACGGTTAAATACATAGAGGATCAGATGCAGGCTGTAGGGGAAAGTGTTAAAAAGTTATATTCAGACATTATGGGAGATTTACTTCCCCCAGATGAAAAGGTAGGCATTGCATTGCCTATAGATAAATATGCTGATGCTGGGCTCTGTAAGAAGCCATTCCAAGTTTGTAAGGAAAGACATGTAAAAAATTATACCAAGCAAACAACTGAGGACTCAAGGATTGACCATGGTGTCAATAAATTTGCCACACTTGCTACTCCATATGATGATACTTCTAAGGCTAATGCCTCAATCATGTCGTCTTTGAGAAGTTCTGTCAAAGAACACAATTTTAGTTCACCTTCAAGACGATTTGTTGGAAGAATGAATGTTAAATCAAACCTTCATATTGATGAATATCCAGTAAATAAGAAAATGGCTGCAACCAAGATAATCAATGAATTCACTTTGTCAGGAACAGATGCGTGCATGACATCACAGTCTTGTGAGACCTCAAACAAAGGCCAAAACCAGAATCATGGAATTAGTATTTCAAAGCCAGCTTCATCTGAAGTGGAAACGCTTAGCTCTGAAACAGACTGTTCTAATGAAATTGAAAATGATACTACCACACAATTTCCCAATTTTCTGGTACTTGATAAGTCAACTGGAGAGAAACAAATTGATACCATTTCTTCCTCACGCGTGTCGTTTGAAGAGCCAGTTGGTGAGTAATTCAGTATCTCTGGGTTATAGTTTCAAAATTATACTAATTGTTGAGGTTGATCACTTTGATTTCTGCTGTTTTTATTTTGTAAGTGTATAGTTTCTCTGGTAGGTTTCTCATGGATAGAACGGTACAGTCCAATGGTTAAATAGGGTGGTTCTTCTCTGCTATGTATTAAGTCAGATAATTCAACGTAGTTACTGAAATTAGATATTGACTCGAATCCCTCTGAAGAGCTTACTCTGTAGGTATTAACATGGCATATATTATTCAGAAATACTAACTGGTTTCAGCCAATGGACCTATTTTGGCTGAAGTTGAATATTGAGGAAGTGTATCGTGGTACTGGTTGTTCTTTTGCTAATGTTACATGAAATAAGTAATTATGAAACTTCCCCACTTGGCTGTATTTGAGAGGTCAGAACAATTCCGTTGACATAATTTTTTTTTTTAATCTTTAAGTTTAAGATCTACTCTTGATCTTATAATATCTGATGAAAAACATCACTTTATGCTTTGCATAGCCTTTTCTATTCATTGCTCCATGTTACTTTGTCAAAGAGTAGTGGTTGAAAATGGAAAAGGATGATTGTTGTTATACTTAGAAACCATAGAGAATTGAATGTCAGCAGTGGTTTTTAGAATGAAAGGGATTGAAGATTATTCAGCTTTTCCCTCTGAAATTAGTAAGTAGCCATGCATATTATAGTGTAGTAGGAACATTTGCATTAGGTTGGGGAATTTGGTGTGTGTGGCATGGGATTTATTTATTTTATTTTGATGAATTTATCATCTTTCTTTAACTTCAAGCCATGATCAACTTAACAATTTTGCAGTGACCATGCTTAAATAGTTAAATTTACTTTGATCTTTTATGGATTTGATTCTTTCCCCATTGGTGCTCTCTATCTAGATAGATACCACCAAGTGAAAAATATATGGTTTATGGAAGCTAATCCTAAACCTTTACTAGTGCCAAAATGCTAATCACTCTTAACCAGTTCAATTGTCAGACTATTGAATTAATTCATTTGTTTTGTTTTAATGACACTACATGATACTTTATATTTTTACCGGTTGGTTGTATACTCTTTCATTATCTAGAACTTAACAACTGAACCATCATCTGCCATTCTAGAATCTTGCCCATTTCTTCACATATTTTATCTTTTGGGGTGTGATTGTGGAGAAGGTTTCTTGACATTCATGTGTTATAGCCATCTCTTTAACGGGTGAACAATGTTTTCTGTTCTCCATTTCTTGTCTTAAATGGATTTGTCCTTTCACTAGACAATTCTGCTTCTTTAGAGAACATGTGGAGAACTAGTCGCTCATCCATGACCAAAACATTCTTTCCAACAGAGAAAGATTTTCTGATAGATATATTAAGTCTTTTCGTTGCTTGTTGTGACTTCTGATGTCATGGTAACTTCATACTTTCTATCATGTAAGAAATTAAAAATCAGTTTCAATGTAACAAAGATTGATGGTTTGATACTGTTTTAGAGCAAGGCAATGAAACCATGCAACTAGATCATCTGCAGCTTGAGGAAGCTTGTGTTATGGTGAATAGAGATCAAATTCAATTACCTCCCAAAGCAGGTGGTAATTATTTGAATACTAACAAGGTACACTGCCCCCACCCACCCACCCACAAATTTATTTTGACAAATATTCACATTCAACTCTAACTAAAAAAAATTTCCATTTCAAGAAAAAATCGCGGCGACCCTTTTCATTGTCCAAGAAATCTGCAAGAAAGCAAGAGTACAAGGAGCTTGCAGCGTGGCATCAGAGCAGTGAGAACGCAAAGGGAGATTGCATGGAGAATTTTGATCCAACTTTATCACAGGATGAGAAGAAATCACTTCTTCCTAGTATGTCTGAACCTGAGTGGGAGCTTCTCTAACTCTACATACCAGAATGATTAAATTGTGTAGATACACACGCAACCAATCCTACTAGTTTGGATTCACTCATTAGTCCCTGTGGAGATTTAAGATGTTTAAATGATTGAAGTTCATAGAAAATTTATGATATATGAAGTTCTTTCCTAGCTCCAAAACTTTACTATCCAACCTTTTTCTTTTTGCTGCTCATAGAAAAGAGAAAAAGGGAAGCTGTAATTAGGCCATTCAAATGAGAACCTCAAATAAAATATATGAAACTGCTATCTATTTTATGAATACTGAACATTTCTATGTACTTATTCTCCACTTATTGCCCTAGTCAATTGCACATCCTTTCTGATTGATTTCATGATACTGAAATACCTCTTGAAGGGATAACCAGAAGTAGTTTCCACCAACATGCGACTTTTTGGTGGCCCTTCAATGATGGCTTTGTGAAATTGTGATGTAAACACACTCCACTAGAACTTTGAGGAAACACTCAATTTATCTTTTTGAAAAAATTATCAGGGTGCATTATTTCTTGATAATATAACATTTTAATTTCAGTTCGTAATCACAAATGCTAATTATATTGATTCTTTTCAAAGACTAAAGTGACTTCTGTATATCGATTAATATGATTAATGTTCATGATTGTTAGAAACTAGTGTAGAATTTTGGTACTATTGATAAGAGTAACATTTTCATTGCCAAAATTTCCATACCGAATTTGAGGTTTCACTTGATGTTTGACATTGTTTAAAATACTCTCTGTTTCTCTTTTTCTTTTTCAGTTTAATTTTCTAAATTTTGAGCTTTAGAAGTTTCATTATAGTGTCTTTTGAATATATATATATATATATATATATATATATATATATATATATATATATATATATATATATATATATATATAAAGGTTTCTTCATCTATTTATTACTAACTTGTTGATATGTGATAAACTGTAAAAAATGTCATATAATATAGATATTCGTTAAATTAAATAAAATTTACATTAATAATACAAAAAACCTGTTGAAAAATTCAATTTGATCTATCATTGACATGTTAATAATCAAAGTGAAACTTTTCAAATTTAGGAAATCAAACTGAAAATAAAAAAGGTACTGAGTTTGGTTAGATTACAGAAAATTGTAGTGTGCAAGAATGTTTTCCAAAAGTTTAATACGAAATCAGTCATATCGGTTAAGTAACATAAGCACCAAAATTCCTGCAAAAATGCTACATATGAAATTTACCTCTCAAAATGGTTTGTTATTAATCATTATCCTATCTATTGAAACAAATTAGATTTTGCTTCTGTAAAAAAATGTTGAAAATCACTGAGGTTAACACTTCAACTACAACATTTATTCTTTTAATTAAGGACCCTCATAAACATTTTCCTAATAAAGTACAAGCATATTTAAAATATAAGCATAAAGTTTTCTAAAAATATTTTAATATTCAAATTTCTACAAAACAATTTATATATAAGTTTATATATATATATATATATATATATATATATATTAAACATTTTTAATAGCTAAATAAAGTTATAAATAACATTTTTGAGATTACAAAAATATCAGAAAAATTTTGTAAATTTTTTAAGAATAAAAAATATTTAAGCCGCTAGAAAATTAATTTTCTAAACAAATGCACGAGACATTGACTGTTTTCTAATGAAGGGAATTTTTTGCCAGTTTTTTATTAGAGTAGTGAAATTTAACCCTAATTTTTAACAAACATCTATTGACACTTTTCTTTTCTTTTTTTGTCCTATTATTTTTTCTATGAATATAATATTCATCTTCGTTTTTTTTTCATCTCATATCATGAAACATAGGTGATTGGAAGTGCATGTCATGTCAGAAAATTTTGTGAAAGTCACTTCATGAAAGTGTGTAATTTATGAAACTGCGGCATAATAACATAATCTATTAACAGGTCCTAAATAGTGTCAACAAAAAGATCTTGAAAAAAAAAATCCAATCTTTAATAAAATAAAGAAGATTAAAATGGTGCACAACAGAAAAAACATATTAATTTAATATATATTAAGATGAGTAAGAGAATTGACTAAGAGGATTTCGTGTTCTTGAAGAGATATCACCACCATATCATAAACTATTTTTAAGAACCCTAATTAATCCGTAGATCAGTTTCATTCGCTGACAAAGACAGAAGAGCATCCACACATATGACCATCAACCAGTCAAGATTGCATAAACAAATCATGCTAACAATTTATCCCAGCTATCAAGAATAGATTTAATCCAGGTTACATTGATTAATTAATACTAATAATAACAACAATAATACAAGTATAATGAACACTATAGTAGCTATTTTTTCCCTTTCTAATTCAAAAGCAACCATTAAGACATTAACTTATGTCTCTGGTTGTAGTGTTATTAACCGACATTATATATAAAAATGAGTTATAAATGGTATAATAATATGCTTAACAAAATGGTAGAATATGAATTGTATCGTGTGAGTTACATTACCACCTAATCTAGCATTAAAGTTTGGTGAGGTTATGACCATAAAGCACGTGGATTTTCTTAATAACAAAGTTAGGTTCATTCATGAATGCATCCATTTGGTGCACTCCATGGATAACGCTTGCCATTATTGGCCAATGAAGTGGAAAGAGGAAGGACAATGAGAAACAAAATCATGCTCAAGATAACCAACTACTTGTATTCTGCATTGTAAATTCACTCATTCTGATAACAACCACTATTGATTAGGTGTACCATCAGAATGGGCCAGGCTTTTCGGCCCTACAAGGCCCACATGGAAACAACATTGTCTTCAACACACAATACAATCATTCAGAGTTACTGTTGGTGACAGGAAAAACAAATCAACGCTCTCAAATTTTCTCCTGATACAATTTCAAATGAGTTGTTACAATTATTTATGGCCAAAATATTTGCCTTTTCAAATACCAAACGTAAATCATAATACCTATTAAATAGGTTTACAACTCATTAGTTATATCACTCGTAATTAAAACCATTATAGGAATACTAAACGTCTAATTTAAGTTTTACAATAAATCTCCCCCTTAAACTTAAATACTCTTCCCATCTCTTATTCCAATAAGTCTTTTACAACTCTCCAGCAGTGTAGTTGGCAGTGGTTTGGTGAATATGTCAGCAGCTTGAGCTCAGCTTTCAACATGCTCCAGCTCAACCTTTCCTTCTCTAACTTGTTCTCGGATGAAATGAAATCGGACGTCAATGTGCTTGCTCCTTCCATGATTAACCGGGTTCTTTGTCAACTCGATCGCTGACTTGTTGTCAACTCGAATTACAATCCTTTCGTCTTGGATCACTCCCAGATGCCTTAGTAAATTTGAAAGCCAAACTGCATGACACACACTCCAAGAGGCCGCCACATACTCAGCCTCACAGGTTGACAGAGTTACAATGGGTTGCTTCTTTGACAGCCAAGTAAAAGCTGTTTTTCCGAGTAGGAACACATAACCTGAAGTACTTTTCCGGTCATCAATATCACCGCACCAATCACTATCCGAGTAACCTACTAGTCGGTAGTCATCCGATTTTGAATAAAATAGACCAAGTGATAAGGTTCCTCGAACATATCTCAAAATTCTCTTTAAGGCCTTCCAATGTGTGTAACTTGGATTCTCCATGTATCTGCTCGTTATCCCAACACTCAACATTAAGTCGGGTCTTGTGCTTGTAAGGTATCTCGAGACTTCGATTAAGCTTCGATATCTCCCGGAATCGGCTCGTTCTCCTCCATCAAACTTTGAGAGTTTAGTGCCTGGTTCCATTGGAGTAGAAACCGGATTACTGATCCTCCATTTTAAATTTCTTTAAAATTTCAAGTGCATACCTCTCTTGGGATATAAAAATTCCTTCCTCCGATCGCTTCACTTCTAGACCAAGAAAATATTTCATCAGCCCTAAGTCTCGTCATTTCGAACTCTTTCTTCATTACCTCCTTGAACTCCTTAATTAGCTTCGTATTGCTTCCAGTGAATATGAGATCGTCAACATAAAGAGCAACTATCATCATATCCTTTTTTGATTTCTTTGTGTACAAAGCATTCTCATATGGACATTGTTCATACCCATTTTTCTTGAAATACCCATCAATTCTCTCATTCCAAGCACGAGGAGCCTGCTTCGACCCATAGAGAGCTTTTCTTAATCTCGATACCTTTTCCTCATCCCCTCTCTTCATGTACCCGAGTGGTTGCTCAACATACACCTCTTCCTTCGAGCACTCCATTCACTACTAGAAAAATGTCAAATAGTAACCGAAATCGATGATCGAAAAATTTAGTTACTATCGGTGACCGAATCAGTAACCAAATTATTATTTTTTAGTCTAGTAATCAGAAATAGTAATCGAATTTTCGGTCACATAAAATCGGTTACTATTTCGAGTCACTTTATTATTTAATTTATTTTTTTAAATAATCTATATTTAATTTATGTAATTATTTTTGTTACTTGATTTTTTTTATATTTAGTAACTCGATTTAGTGACTAAAATTTCAGTCACTAAAAAAATAATTTTTAAACTTATAACTATTTTTCATTTATATAAATATTTTATTTAAAATATTTTAAATATAAATTTACTTAATAATTTAAAATAATTGATAACATTTTTAATAACATTATAAATATTTAAAAAAATTGTTTACTAACTTATTAAATAATTTTGTAATATAATTATTTGATTTTATTTTTTAATTTAGCATGTGAATAAAAAAATTAAAATTGATTATTAAATTAGTCACCGAATCGATCATCGATTCGGTCATCGAATCGATCATCGATTCGGTCACTGATTCGGTCATCGAATTGGTTACTTGATTCGATCATTGAATCGGTCACTAAATCAATAATTAAATTAATTATTAATTTAGTCTCTTTATATATATATATATATATATATATATATATATATATATATTACTTGTATGTTAATAAAAATGTATTTCAATGTATTTATAAAAAATTAAAATTATTTTAATTACTTGAATTGATATTTTAAATTTATATTAATATCTTGAATAATTTAATAGTTGGATATATATATATATATATATATATATATATATATATATATATGTATCACTTTAATTTTTTTAATTAAAATTAATTTCATAAAAAAATTAATATTTGAAAATTAAAATGCAAAATATATATATATATATATATATATATATATATATATATTTATTTTTTAAAGATGATATATTCAATGTATGTTAAAAAAGTTCAAGCCAAATTGTTTTTATAGAAGATTTTCAAAACTCATTGGTTTAATTAATCTGTTAAAAGATTCTTTTAATCTATTAAAAGTGCAGTTTTAATTTGTTAAAACTTCTTTTAATCCATTAATACGTTCTTGATTCTTTAACAGATTTGTTTTAACCGATACGACAACGTTTATATCAATTAAAACACTTTACAAAAAATCTTCTAAGTTAATTTAATCGATTGTTTCGCGATTCAATCGATTGAAATACTGCAAAACTTTCTCCTAAAACTTTTCAAGTTATTTTAACTGATAAAAATAAGTTTTAATCGATTAAAACGTTGTGCAAAAATTGTTTTAATCGATTGAAACGAGATTTAATCGATTAAAATAGTTATGATCAGTCATAATTGCATTCTGACCGATCATAATTGAAACCATCTAATAGCGGTTCAATGGTTAACCGCTATCTAAGTGAGATTTTAAGAGCGGTTCCTGTGTAACCGCTATCTAAACTCTATCTCGCTTGAGCGACAACTTTCTCGCTCGAGCGAAACGCCCCCTGCACAAAATTAGTACTTTCGGGTTGTATTTCGCTTGAGCGAGTCGAGTCTCGCTCGAGCGATATTTGATTCTGATCGATTAGATTTTCGAAATGATCGATCATATTTGATAATTTTTTCAAATAATTAATTATAATCGGTTAGTTTTCTAAATTATTGATTAGAATTGATTAGTTTTTCAAATAATAGATTAGAATTGATTAATTTCTGAAATATATACTAAAAAATTATAATTAAAACTATAATATAATCATAGAACTTACAAAAATGTAGAATTGAGAAGTTTGAATTACACTTTTAATAAATTTAAGATAATACTAGTTTTGATTTTTATTTTTAAATATTTATTTTAATTATTTCAAACAGAGAAACTATAATTTTAGTTTCTAGCAATTGAATTTAAAGAATTAAATCTATTATTATTTAATCTTTTAATTTTAGTATTAAAATTTTAAATTATATTTTTCTACTTTGAGAATGAACAATATAATTAAACTCAAAATTGACAATATTATAATACATTTTTGAACTCTTTTGGATTATAAATGTATAAGGATATAAATAAATATATAAATATATCAAAATATAAATATATAAAAATATAAATATATAAAGATATAAATGTATAAGGATATAAATATATCAAAATATAAATATATAAAATATAAATATATAAATATAAGTTTCTTGTAAAACTTTTCAAGTTATTTTAACTGATAAAAATAAGTTTTAATCGATTAAAACGCTTGTGTAGAATTGTTTTAATCGATTGAAATGGGATTTAATCGATTAAAGAGTTCTGATCGGCCATAATTGCATTCCGACCGATCATAATGGAAACCATATAATAGCGGTTCAAGGGTTAACCGCTATGTAAGTGAGCTTTTAAGAGCGGTTCTCGTGTAACCGCTATCTAAACTCTATCTCGCTTGAGCGACCAATGGTCTCGCTCGAGCGAAACGCTTCCTGCACAAAAGTGGCATTCTCGGGTTGTATTTCGCTTGAGCGACTCTAATCTCGCTCGAGCGATGGTGCAACCGCTATTAGAAGTAAATATAAACATATAAATATATATAAATATGTAAAGATATAAACATATATCTTTAATATTTTGTAAATGTAAATATAATTTATATATATTTTTAAATCTTTTTCTTATATTTATTTTTAAAAATATAATATTTTTTTTCAAATATATAAATATATAAAGATATAAATGTATAAGGATATAAATAAATATATAAATATATAAATATATATAAATATATAAAAATATAAATATATAAATATATAAATATATTAATATATAATATATCAATATATAAATATATAAATATATAAATATATAAATATATAAATATATCAAAATATAAATATATAAAAATATAAATATATAAATATATAAATATATTAATATATAAATATATCAATATATAAATATATAAATATATAAATATATAAATATATAAATATAAAAATATAAATATATAAAAATATAATATATAAATATATTAATATATAAATATATCAATATATAAATATATAAATATATAAATATATAAATATATAAATATATATATATATATATATATATATATATATATATATACAAATATATCAATATATCAATATTATCCCCTCATATATTAATATACATTATTAGCATAATTTTAATTTAATTAAAAATTAGAATACAAATATACTATACTATACTAATATACCATTATATTATTTTCATTGTATATAAATTACAAAATTAATAATTTGTATACTATACTATACTATACTAATATATTATTTGTATACTATACTAATAGTA